CACTTAAAACGGCATGTGTTTATTTAGGATATGTATTTAGGATATCAATGTAACAATTGCAAGCATATCAGTTATAGTTTCGTAACTAGGAAAACGGTTGCGATTCTCCCACAAAACAAGTAATCAACGTGAATTTTGATACGGTAAAATAGCATTAGATGATGAAACTAACCGACATCTTTCTCGTGCTCTGAGTGGCCCATTTGTCGTGCTGACAAACCCTCCTATTTGTAAAACAAACAGCGATCTGGACATTCGCATCCCTGCCTACCACGCTCCATAGCAATTCCAGTGCAATTAGATGACATCATCCAAACAACTGGCGTTTGGTCAGTTTCACTCGAATTCGTTACATGGATGTGTGCGAGGGTTCAGAGCGTTGCAGTAACCTACATGGAGAGGGAGGGGTGCAAATCTGATCAGATGACCCCAGACACACACAGATTACATTATATAATGAGGGTGGGACCCAGTACAGCACGGCGATTATCCAATCAGTGTGTGTATCTATGTGCACTCTACCCGCATTCATCCGCTTTCAGATTCTGCTTAATTTTACGCCGCATCTCAATGATGGGAGTTCGTGACATGTCATGACCTGGGCAGCGCCCATCCTGACGATGCTAATCTACCCTTGTTCTACACGGAATGTTTCTGCAATATGCTCCAAATAAAAAATCAACTTATGTAACTAGATTAACAGTAAGTCACTCATCTTTGGCAAGTCGCGGGGCAGAGTCGCGAAGTGACAATTTGCATTCATGTTTTTCATATGCAAAGTTTAAACTATCTCGTTTTTCCTGAGTGGTCCCTCCCTTGCTGGTGGCGACAATCGCTGCTGCGCCCTGGGGGCTTCAAGGGCGCCTCCTGGGGCGCGGGATGGGCGTCTGCCCGTCTCCCGGGCGCGATGACCCGCGCACTTTCACGAAGAGTCGTCTGATGGTCCGTGTCGCAACCGGCCCGTTTACTGGACTGTCGCGACCGGCACCGGCCGGGACGACTCGAGCGAGAGGGACGGGCCACCCGAGTGGGCCGAGGGGCGATCGAGGAGACCTGAGCAGACCGGAGCGGACCCTGGCAGACCCGAGCGGGCACGAGCGAACCGAACAGGCCTGAATAGACCCGAACAGACCCGAGTGGATCAAACAGACCTGAATGGACCCGAGAAGACCCGGGAAGTCCTGAGCGAATCCGAGCGGGCACTAGCAGATCCGGGCGGACCGAAACTAGCAGACCGAACAGGCCTGAACGGATTGAGATGGTCGGCCAATGAAAGATGGGAAAGCTCCGATCAACACAATGGCTGGAGCCTTTCTATCGTAACTTTTATCGGGGATACAGGAGCTTGAAGTTGCAAATGCGCATTAGAAATGGGTTACAATGCTGAGGAAATAGAAAAATCAGTTCGAGATACGTATTTACTTGCTTGTGTATTCGCGGTCTTTGATCAGCATAGATGTTTAAGCTGGCGTAGTGCCATCGTGCCGACGGTTGCAGCCGTGAACGTGCAGTTACATTGATTGTGGATTGAGGTGTTTCTGAGAAACGTATGTCATTGGCGAAATGACGACCGGTCTCGGCTTTGGAGAGGATGGGTAGGTATGTGGGAAGCTCGTGCTGATTTTTAGACGTCCACCGGTCTCGGGTTTCTCTGGTCTGGTTCTCTGGAATGCCCGTTGGTTTGGGTGTCTCCTCAGAGTTTGACAGAGCGGCTCTGCTCGCCTTCCTTTCATTTTCCTATTCCTAAGTCTTTCAATTCCAATCTGCAGCGATGCTGGGTCAGGAGAAAGGAAAACTCCCGGGGAAATGTGTGATTACAGCGCATAGTTCCATTAAGCTAACTACATTCTACGACTCTGCACCGACCCGCGACCGACTCTGCGCTTCTGATAAGCCGGGTATGTAGATGTGGGGGAAAACCAGGGGGCAGTAGAAAAAAATTCTTGGCTAATTTGGGTATTTTTGTGGCGGTTTGCATGCCTTCACAAATGCATGAGGTGGTGAGGGTGCAATTTTCAAATCATTTGTATACCGAACTCTTCAATTCAGCGGCACATATGCTATTTAATTGAAATTTCACGATCGACTGGGCAGCGCAGCCACTGGCTACACTCGTGGGTTTCGTGACCTTCCGAAAGTCAGCTTTCGATAGCGATAGCGTTACGAAACGGGAGACGTGAATGCAGCCGCCGGGCCGATTTCTGGCGCCGGAGCGCGGTAGACCAGCCGGTTTTCTGGCAGACCGTAAATCCCCCCCCCCCGACTGACTGGGGGGGGGGGGGGGCAGATCCGATCCATACCCCGGGCCAGGAATCGCCCGGTGCTGGACCGCCGTTGTCCGTGCTCCATTGAGACCTTCATTGGGATTTTCGTCTGGTGACAGAAAAGTCAGATATGAGAGTGATGTCATGATGTGTGCAATACAGAACGAGTTCTGAAGAAGAGTAAATAGCTTGCGGCTAGTGAAAAGTTTTTTTGGTATATTTGATGACGATTTATTTCGACATTTGATTTAGCAGCCGACAGAAATGTTTTTATAGTATGTTTTATGGTTTCGTTTTGATCCCATTTCTTTCTTGGTAATTTAAAAGGAATACTGCAACAAACGTAAAAACATGGCAATTGCATGGTTTTTAAGTTCCCAAGACATTGGACATGATGAATTGAGCATCTGTCATGCATGCGTATCTAACCTCGGTATTTTCTGACAGCGCCCCGATTAGTTCGCAGGGGAGAAACTCTACATAGCTCTAAATCACGGTAGGTGACTGGGCCTGAAACGATATAAAAATTAATTTCTTTGACACGAAGCAATCCTCAGACAGTCAAGGAATGTCACGCCTTCTACATTTTCATGACTGCCAAATACGGATGACCTGGAGATTGGCCTCTGATGACTGGCATAGGCTCAAGGTGGCGAATCAATAACGCTGTCAGTCATTTATCTGATGACCGACTTCTCCAGGGGTCAGCAGGGTACCGTCCTGTCACCAACTATTCGCCAGATGTTGAGGGGCCTATAGTGCATGAACCTCAGATTTAGTAAACCTCTGCGGATAATCCCAGCGGGTTACGGGAAAACCGAAAACTGCTGTCCGGTGACTCGACGACCGTTCTTTCTGGTACGCGATTGGCATTCGTTTCCATAAGTTTATCATGCTTGCGTTTTGATAATCCATACAAACCACTGGCACTGTGGATTCTGGTGATCACGCAGTGGCGACTTGGTTTCCGTCCAGTGACTACTGACCGTCCAGTGACCGTCCAGTGACCACTGACCGTCCAGTGACCGTCTAGTGACCACCAACTGCCCAGCGATCGCAGCGACCGTCCCAGTGACCAGAGGACCGCCCGCGGCACGGCTCCGCCACTGATGTAACGGGAACACACGGCCACCGCTACAGTTAGGTCGAACGGAGCGTGCGCCGGCCTCTCAGCGCCGGGAGAGCCTTCGGAGGCCGGCCGCGGGCTGCGGCAGCTCGACTGGCCGCAGCTGTGACCGGGAGCTGCGGCGGCGGAGGAGAGCGGCCGCAGGGCGGTGGGCGGCTGCCCACGCGGCCACGATGCTCCATTTTAATGAGGTGAATGTGGCGAGCGTGGCCAGGATTTGGAGTGATACTGGTTAGGGCTGGAAGTGATCCAATATATGCAGGTTGTTTAGAAAGGAGGCCCCGTTTGATAGGTAATCGGGACGGATCCATAGTAAAAGCGCAGCAGTTTAGGCGTTGTTATTTTATTATTTATGCTATCTACATATTTAGCCGTTGTTAGGGTCTATGTGGAACTTTTTTGCAGGATGGGTCTAAGAAATGTTTTTCACTTGTAATAACTTTTAAATATTTCTGAAGTCGTGAGGACAGTTTCGCCAACAGAAAAATTACCGGTTTGCGGCATTCTTTAGTTTTTATAGTCCCCATAAGTTTAACTGGACAGCAAAAACAAACTAACTACTGAATCGAAATATCTAAGCTAGGGTGGGCGATATTATATTCCACCGACTTTTCTTTCGCTTAGCTTGCGAGGCTCGGAATCGACTTTTGCGATGAAAATAAAACAAAATAAAATAGACGTAGCAGGCGACTTGTCGTTTCTAACACTAGTCTTCGATCATTTCCAGTTCTTTTGAGTCGCGTAAATGACATGAAAAATCATTATCCTATTTAACATTCAAAATAAGTTTTTACCGGCTGCAGCAGAAAACGTTATTGAATTTGCCGGTACAAGTCATATAAAATAAAACCGAGTAATAACTGTCCTTTGTTTTTTCAAGCAAAATAATGAGGAGTAATTTACCGATTAGCAAGTATTCCGCCTAAGACATGGCCTAAGTATGACAAATGTGAAATGTTTATCTCATGTGATTTTAACATAAAAGGCTGCTTTATCTCTACATATTGTGCTTCAAATGACAGTTACAATTGATAGATTACTCTAAATTGGTTGCTTCTAAATAGGCTTTAGAACTTGTCACAGGCCTGCTTCCCTGAAGCTAAAAAGGTATCACGCGACAAGAAATAAGATTGCTTCTATCACATCATTAACCTGATTGTTGCTTTATGTGTTCGGTCAGGTATTTTTTTCAATTTGCCGGATATTTGTGAAAAGTAATATGTTTTAATGCGTTTTTTATATTACGATTCATTAGAGTAACTTCATAAATTTTTCAATAAACTTCTTTGAACACGTTACCTTAAATTTAGCATTTTGATTTCTCATGAAATTAAAGCCTCAAGTAATTTTTTGCGGTTACATGTCATAGGGCATCTCCGGGTTTAGCAATTCCTTAGTTAAACGAGTCAATAATTAGCTAATATATTTATATTAGTGTTTGAAAAGCTCATTTCTCTCAACGCTTAGCAGCCCTTCTAATCAATTCGCCTCCCCAGAACCATGTCAACACAGGGCGTGTCGCTCGCCCGGGGAGTGTCACGTGATCGGTGCGTGCAGGGTCAGCGCCGCGGGGTGTGCCGTGACCTCGGGGTCACCTTGGAGCCACTCACCGGTCAGAAGTACCAGCGCCACGGGTACCGTCCACCACCGCACCATGATGTCTGTCAGGGACTGGCCGCCGGCCCCGACCAGCCGCTCTTATAAAACACTGCCCTCGACTGCGGCGCCGCCCGGCGGACGACCGAGCAAACTGACCCGCTCCCAAAGGTCATCTCAACCGACCGCGTGTGGGAAAGGGACGAATCTTTAGTCACGGTGTCTATGTGGAAGTTAAATAGTTTAACTCTTATTGAGATAAAATCCGTGATGCACATGTTTGGTTAAATGGCTATGGCTAAGTTTATTTTCTCTTGATGACCTTCCTTACTTTGTAGTTATTCCTCTTCGTTCGTCCCGTTTTAAATGAATACCTAGGGGCAAAACGTGCAAGTTAGGTGAGTTGCAAGCTGCATGAACCGTCATGATTCGTCCTGACATAATCCACCGTTCCGTGCTTCTATCCTCAGGATACTGAAATCCTTCTCCTCCACGCCGCAACCCCCTTCCGGGCTGGACAGTCAACTTTATCTCATGCGGGCTGCTCCCTTGGAGCGGCACCGCTGCTCCCGAGGGAGCGCACCCCGTAGCCGGGTGCAGTGAGTGCCTTGGGGCTGGGTGGCCTGTCCTCTGGACGGGCTCAGCCCCGGCGACTCACTAGGGTGCCTGCCCAGACCAATGTCTCCCCCTATATCCTATCATCCTTCCGGCTCTGAAATGGTCTCAATGGACCGAAAGGGCCTAATCCAACAAAACAAACTGACATAATCAGGAACAGACCCATCCACATCAACCTTATTCTTCCCTTTCCGGGCTGGCTATCATCCTCGCCAGGTGACTGAGCCTGCAACCTGCAAACACTGGTTGAGGGAAAGTCCCCGTTGGACCTTAGCCTCTCCCCGAACATCATTACAAATACCATTTTCCCCAGTGATTTGTAATTTTGTAAGTAACACCTTGATCTCAATCACTTGGCATTTCATTATTTTTTTTATGAGCTCGACGGTGCAGTTACTTTGCGAAAGGACCCTTCAATTCGTTTCATCTGTCACTAATAAGCCGTATTAATTCCGAAACATGCAAAACAACAATTTTTGAATTGGCCCCAATCTCCATCACTGGTGCACGTGGCACGTGCAACCCTTTGCACCGCCCGCACACCATTCGATAACCCGCACAATCCTATGCACGGTGGAGTTTCCCCTTGCTGATCAGTCGCCCAGTCACCGAGATAAGTAAAGCACAGGGACCGAGCCCGTGGCGGCCAAATTTAGTTGCTTTCGCTCGATTTGCACTCCGTTTTGAACATGTTCGCTCGCGCCGGGCCGGTGCTCACTGCTTGGCGCAAACTGCGCCGCAACGGGCCGGCTAGAAGAACACCCCATCTAACTCGGCTCCTGGGCCACGTAGCGACACGAAGCAAGCGGTATTCGAAAGTTTCAAAAATCATGACGAAATTGCTTGCCATTTTCAGGTTAGGTTAAAGGTCAGGTTACTAGAGGTCATCATAGGTCAAATTTTACACTAATTCAACACTAAAAAACAAAAACAAATCGGCACATAACTCGGAAGTCCATACGAGTAGGTTATAGGTACAGCGACGCAAAAAGCGCATTCGATAGCCCTTTTAACGCTCTTTCTACGGAATGTGCTCAGATCTGACCTTATATCAACGGTTTAGCCTCCGGAGAGCACAAACTCGAAAAAAACGTTTTTACAAAACATGTCTTTCGGTAACAGCTTTGACTCAATAAGTCACATTATTTTTGCCAGCATCGTGTTCTTCTCATTGAGATGCGTCTAACTCGAATGAACTAGGTACCTACAATTTGACCTTAATAGGCCATTTTCAAAATTTAGCATCAAGGTCGACCTGAACACATTTATAAGGAACACATCATTGCTCCAGCATGCATCTCTGCGAAAACTTATGCCAAAAGTTGCTGGGGATGTTGCTGTGGACCTTTCATGGCCTGAGATGACCTCAGGGACATAAGAAGGGGTCACGGGTGCAATTTTCGGATTCACTGGTCAAGTTTATCGGTAACGAAGTGTTCGAGAGTTATTTGAATGACGTTCGTCCAACATGGGTGGAGAACCTACCCCGGCCACCCCGGCCGTGGCCGGGGTAACTTTCAGCCGACCCCGGCGCGGCCGGGGTAACTTTTTCCACTTTTGTAAATCCTAAAAACTGTCTCCATACGAAAAAAACTGCCATCTATAAAAGTGTCTCTCATTATTCTTATCTACCTTGAAAAGTTCTTGAAAATTTACTTTATTTTCGTTTTGGAGCTTCTATGTTTTTAAGTCTTTTCATCGCGGAGCCCGACATGTTTCATCAAACAGAAGTAAATCATATTTAAGGGCCGTTATCGTAAGATGGCACTGTAATAACATCACAAGACAGGACGACGGTAATATCAGTGAGATAGAAGGACGAGCTGCTGGGGCTCAAGGCTCCCCCAACTTAACCCGCACCAGGGTGGTGGCCTAATCGTAACACGTTGAGTCGAGAGGTGGGCTTTTCACACTCCTTCTAACTCGGCTACTGGGCTACGAGGCGAGAAGCGGAACGACGTTTGAAAGAGCGACAAACGTGACCAGAGAAATCTGGTCATGTTTTAGGCAAGCTCAATAATAAAATCACCATAGATCATCAAAAGCCAAATTTCTCTGATTTTAGCGTTCTCCAACAACTTTTCTCACAGTTCATGAACATAACGGAGCTTAAACACTGCAAATAAAACATTCGATTACTCGTTTAAGGCTCGGTCGCGAATAATATTTCAGGTGCGAGCTCAAATCAATAAGAGGGTCAAAACGGTCAAATTTGACATTTTGTTTTGTGTGGGAAGGTTGCAACTTCCACGGAATAAGCTTTGCAAAGGGCATGATGGCATTTTTAGCACGATCATCCAGCAAATTTTACCTGATGACCTGACCTAGCACTAGGTGACATGCGTCCGAAATTTTAAGGCGTGTTGCAAAATTGTTGTTGCAATTACGAAATCTTCCGCACCTGCGTGCAGCAGTTTTCCCTAAAAACGTACGCAGACATCCATTATTCTATGCCACAGAATAGGGGTTTCTTGATAACCGTTGACAAATATTTGAGCATCATCGTCTTTCTGACTTTCGGTCGCCGGCCGGGGTAACTTTTTCAAACATTCTCCACCCGTGCGTCCAAAAGAGGTGCGTTTCAAATTTCTCCCACTGGCTTATAATGGAGATGGCGCAAAATTGACCTGACCTTAGGTCACCGATACAAAAATTCCGAGATACGAGTAATTACGGAGCGAGCGAAGCGAGCGGAGTCTTTCCTTAGATTAAAGGGACTATCCCACCTTCTAAAATGTTGTTAAAACCAGTTAAATTGTGCCCGACTTTATAGATTGGATGACCAGGAACCCGGTTCTGGCATTTATTTTTCATAAAACATCTTAGGCTTCCCATATTCCAAACACAAACTTTCAAATATGTGACGTCACAGCCCAAAATTACCTCCTTCCCCAGGCCACATTACTGTCATAAAGCTGATTCTTTTTACTCTGTAGGCACCACAACAAAGTTCAGACCAAGTTTTAAGCGATTTTTCAACGAACAAACCCATTTAAATCAGAATGACTAAACAAGGTGACGTCACACTAACGGTCGCTCCATGTTGAAGATAGGGCCTTGCACAAGGCCCATTTTCAAATGAAGGGAACAAATTCCTTCAACACCAAGAGGCCGCGGGGGTTGCAACCTAGATAGATAGTGGTTTCTGAACCTCGCCGCAAACTTGGCTATCTCAACTCAAACCCCATGTTAAAGATGGGATAGTCCCTAGTTACGGAGCGAGCGAAGCGAGCGGAGTCTTTCCTTAGATTAAAGGAAATAGTTCACATTTTAACATGGGTTTTGAACTGGAATAGCAGTTCCGTAGCTTGGGCTGAGACGAGCATAAATCAGGAGCTTTTACAGCCCAACGATCACCCTAGGCAAAGATATTCTATTTCTCGTCCCGAAAAATGTGTCTTGCGTTGAGGATGTGTGCCTTGCATATATTCGCATCCAGTATGAAACGAGCATGGGTCCCGAAAATTCTTCAGAAACTAGAGAAATTATCTACGAGAACTCTAGAGAAATTCGCTCCAGTGAGGCGCTCCAGTAACAAAAGCACGAGCAGATCGCCCAAATGCCGGTGGCCGCGATAATTTCTCTAGTTCTGAAGAATTTTCGGGACCCATGCTCTTTTCATACTGGATCGCGGTGCCTTACAGAAACTGAAAAGTTCTTCCTATATCAAAAATATAGAAAATAATATTTTGCTGTAAAAAGGTTTTATTTTCTTTGCTGATCATTTTGAACATAAAAAATCACAAATCCATTGCAAAAAAAATAATTTCGTGAAAGTGAACTATTTCCTTTAACGGAAATTTCTGAGTATGAGCGGCCGGCCGGCCGGCCGGCCGTGCGGACGCTTTTGCGAGGCTTATATCTCAGCAACCACTTGACCGATTTACATGCGGTAAATTTTGTAGGGTAGCTTCATTCCTTCTACCAAGTATTGGACTATTCGTGATGCATGTGGGTGACCCCTTATGCACGTGCCACGCGCAAAACGAAGAGGTGTCAGTTTTGTAATTGTTGCAATATCTCTGTAACTACTTGGCCGATTGCGCTGAAAGTTGGCATGTAGGTAGGCACCCACTAGGCACTGCATATCCATGTGCCAGAGTTGGGGTGCTGCTGCACGTGCGCACGTGCAGGGGTCGTTTCCAGATCTCGAGAACGACTGGACCGATGGCGCTCAAATTTGGTACACGGTTAGGGACCAGTTAGTAGGGTGCCGTGCACAAGTCAGTTGGAACCCATTCTGCACGTGCGCACGTGCAGGGTGCCGCTTCCAGATCTCGAGAACGGCTGGGCCGATTGTGCTCAAATTTGGCACATCGCTAGAGACCGGTTAGTAGGGTGCCGTGCACAAGTCAGTTAGAGGTACCTCCTCGAAATTTCGCACGTGCAAGGCTCACCCTCTCGCTCGCTCCGTTAGTCGCCCCCAAAGGCGCTATACTGGTAGATAGTTGTAGATAGTAGAT